GGGACGGTCAGTGCCAAATCGATCGATTTTGGAAACAGTTATTCTCACAAGATCACCAACATGATAATCAATGATTTTTCTTTTTTTTGTCATTTGATTTACTATCTTTTCAGTGTAAAGCTGAAGATCTTGTCGTGCTGTGCTTCGTAATAATTCATGTGAAGTATTTGTAATATTTTTAAGAACCGAATTGTTTCCTATTAGCATGACAATTTTAGGATTAATAAATTTTTTGAAAATAATAAAAAATTTATTATTATGTATATTAAATAATATTATAAACTTGCCTGAGCGTGAAATACTGTCATTAACTGGTTGAAATTCTGGAATTTTACCCAAAATAGAAATATAAATTAGTAATAAAAAATAAATAAATAACACAGTAATGAACTTGTCTAAAATGCTACTACTATTATCCAGCTGCCAGCGTGGGCTTTTTCCTAAATAGAAATATTTAAATTATTTAAGTTAAATATTAATATTGATATAGAAAAAAAAAATTTAATTTGCTTACCATCTGGCTTCCGGTGTGGGTTTTTACCTAAGAATAGGAACATAAGTAACATAAATTAACTAAGTAAAAAGGAAAAGCAGCGATAAGAACTTGCCATCATAATTTTTTAAATACCATTGTGGGGCTTATAAAAATAAAAATAAAATAATATGAACTTACTTAAAGATCCACTATTTTTATCTAATCGTGAACGTGAAGGTTCTAAGCTTTCATCTGAAAATAAAGGATTTTTAAGTTTGTAAAAAAAAAAAAAAAAAAAAAATATCAATGTAGTAATATAAACTTACTCAAAGACCCGTCGCCACCTTTATCCAATCGCAAACGTAAGGATTCCAAGATTTCATCTAAAAATAAAATTTTTTGTAAACAAAAAAAAAACAAAAATTATATATAGTAATATGGACTTACCCAAAGGTTCGCTACCATTATCCAATCGCAAACGTGAAGATTTCAAACTTTCATCTAAAAATAAACATTTAGGTTTGTAAAAAAAATAAAATAAATAAAAAATAAAAATAAATATATAGTAATATGACTGACTTATAGAGCTACCACTATTATCCAATTGCCGTTGCGAAGGTACTGAGCTTGTATCTAAGAATAGGAATATTATTAAATAATACTAATAAAATTGAACTTATTAAACTAATCAGTAGTATGAACTTACTCGTAGAGCCACCGATATTGTCCAGTTGCCGTTGCGAAGGTACTGAGCTTGTATCTAAGAATAGAGATATTATTAAATAATACTAATAAAATTAAACTGTATTAAACTAATCAGTAATATGAACTTACTCATAGCAATAGAGCCGCCACTATTGTCCAGTTCTGTTGCGAAGTTCCTGAGCTTGTATCTAAGAATAGGAATATTAGTAAATGAAATTAAACTGTACTAAACTAATTAATAATCTGAACTTACTCATAGTGATAGAGCCGCCACTATTGTCTAGTTGCCATTGCAAAGTTCCTAAGCTTATATCTAAAAATAGTGATATTAGTAAATGATACTGTAATAAATTAAACTGTATTAAACTAATTACCTGAAATATTATCATTACAAACTAATTGATCATGTAGTTCTGAGTTTTTATCTATAAATTTAAATATAAGTTAACAGTAAGTAATAAGATAAATTGTACCAATTGTAAACTTCTGAACTTATCTAAAGTATTGTCACCACTGTTTATTTGTTGCTCCAGGCTTTTACCTACGAATCTAAAATGTAAGCTAACAGCAAAAATAGTATGAATAGATCGTATCAAATATAAACTTATCCAAAATATAAATATCATATCGATGATATGAAGGCTCTATGCTTTCATCTATTAAAATATAAGTTAGCGGTAATAAGAATAAAATATTGTAAAATATATTAACTTACCCGAAGTATTATCGCCACTATCCTCTCGATGATAAGGAAGTTCAGGGATTTTATCTACAAATTTAGAATGCTAAGTTAATAAATTAGGAAAGAGAGAGAGAATATAAAAAAAATATTAATTTACTCCATGTATAATCATCGTTATTTGACTCAGAGTTTCTTTCTAAAAATTATAAAATTTAAGTTAATAATGTAATAAAATTATTGAGATCATAACAAATGCTAAGTGCCCAAAGTATTATTGCCATGTTGGTGCGAAACATCAGAGTTATTATCTAAAAAATTGTGAATGCTATTAATGAAAAAAATTTAACAAGATAAATTGTTACAAATTTAAATTTACCTGCGTTGTCCAGTTCCTCAGATAGTGATTCTATACATTGGTTTTAAAAAATTAATAAATAATTATAGAATCAGGAATTATAGCAATTATATAAAACCTTACCATTTATGTCATTATCCAAATTCATAATAGAATCGCTCTGAATATCAATAGTACTTGGAATTTCTTCTTCATCACGAATATTCCTTTCAAACAAATCATTAACTAATGTACAATTTCTGCAGGGTTTACCCCCATAAACAAGTTCGTAAGGGGTCTTCTTATGTGCTCAACACTATGAGGTGTTCATAGTAGTAATAACAAATCGTAAACCGAATGACCAGAAATAACGACCTGTTTCTTCCTTCCATTTGTCTATTTTTTGCTCCAATATTCCGTTTGCCCGTTCTACAAGTCCTTGGGACTAAGGGTGCCTAGGGCGCCCATTTATGATTTTTGCTGAGGGCCATAATTCCATTAATTCTTTAATAATTTTCACACAAAATTCTTTTCCATTGTCTGACTGAAGTATTACAGGAGATGATCCTATTAAATAGAAAAGATCGAACAGGTAGGCCGCCATTTCAACTACTCTTTTAGAGGTAAGAGCTTTTGCCCAAGAAAATCACGAAAAGTGATTACACATGTGGCATATGTATTTAAACTCTCCATCCAAATTAAAGGTCATGTCTATTAGATCAATCTGGAAAAAAAAAAGATAAGAGTAATAAATAAAACAAATAAAATAAAGTGCTTGAGGACATCCAATTATGAAAAAAAAATAAATAAAATAAAGCAAATAAAATATGCTACTTGAACACGGGACAAAAAATTTTTTGTGATGATTGGCTTGGCGGCTAAAGGATGAAACGTTGGTTTGCGAATAGCACATATAGTACAATTATTGACGAATTGTTTAATGATATATTGTTTTACCCAGCCTCATCTTTTTCTTATGGTTTTCTAGGTTTGTTTTTGATCTCTGTGTTGAGTTATTTGACTGTGAACTTGACAAAGTGTCTCATACATATTTTCAGTAATCAGCACTAGATTATTGGTCACCTTTACAATAATTCTATAGTCATCAGAAACTATTTCCTCAAGTCGGAACTGTTTTTTGGCCCAGACTCTCATATTTTTATTGTAAAGCGAGGTATTTTGAGGATCTAGTAAAATACGCTTTATTTTATTGTATAATTCACGGTTAATTAAAGCCTTTTCACATTTTGATTCTGGAAGATTAGAAACATAATTTTCAAGAATCTTATTAAGGGTACTTTTACTAATAAAATTATATTCCATTTTTGAAGGCGTTGAAAATATGTATATAGTCACGTCGATATAACAACTTTTGATAGAATAATTCTTAGAGCATAGTACGATAATACAATGAAATATGTAAATTTTATTTGGAGAGAAGAAAAAATCAGTTTGCTGAGCTTACGACTTCTTTTTATTCGATTTTACTGCGCTTTAGATTTATTTAATTATTGTATAATGAAACAATTACTAATATAGAAATCGCATTATTTTCCAAGTAAGTATTACAAATAAATATTTAATGTCCGAATTTTTTTTTATGCAAATCATCTTGCCTCAGGTGACAACTGAAGTACCTCAGGTAACCGATTGACATGTTACGCACCTTATATAATGATCGACACCTGAGGTGCCTCGGTTGTCACCTGAGGCAAGAACTGATATGAGGCACAACATATCCCTTAGATTGTAGTAGAATACAGGCAAATTTGCCTGTGTTTTTACACTTTTTTAGCTCTGATTTACTTTTTTA